CACTAGGGCCTAGATCTCTCCCGATCAAACCCCAAAATCACCCGCCAATGACGCCAACTCAAACAGCATCATCTACCCAGTTCACCTCCATCCAGGCCTGCCAGCTTTTCTCGGCATGTCCCGATATTCCCGAAGAAAGCAACATTGGTTGCCAACACAGCCTTGGCACTCGAACCAGGCATATCTGTTACGGAGGTTTGCCGACACATCTGTCATGGCTGCCATTACTTGGTGATGGCAGATTCACATGCAACAAGCGTACTCCCACGCTGGGAAGTAACCAAAAGCGCACAGAGACATACATAATTTATCACGCCCCGGCTAGGCTAGCCAGGGCTCGCATGATCATCTACACATTCTCCGCCTTTGTTCAGATTCTTGCCTCCCAGAAGCCCATACAAGTCACTAAGGGATAACGCAGGCCACTTTGCATGAAGCGAATGCCGCTTTTCGCAACCGAACTTGCGTACAGACTGACTGGTCTTGACTTGGCCTATCATGAAGAACCAATGAGTAACAAACAGCCCCTTCAGCTACTTGATTTGGGACCCTTCACTCTGTATCGATGCGCCCAATCATGGCATGCCTAAAAATGTTGAACGATCTGGTTTCCACGGCAATCCATCCAGCTGTACCCGCGGTCGCCAGGAATAATAACCCAGCCCACAGGCAGATGATAGTGGCAAACTGCCACGCTTGTGTTTCCGTACAAAACAAAGCCGCTCCGATAATCAGCTGAACGAACGCACAATCTAGGAGAAAAACCGGGATCCATGCAATGACTAGACCAGAGCTAGGGGAATCGCCAGTGCCACCAGATGCGAACGAGAGCATGACCGTGTTGATTGCAATGAAGGGTGTTGTGATCGCAGATGCAGAGAGAAAGAAGCCTGCAAATGCAGCCGTTATTGATGTGTTCGTCGGAGGGGCTTTTGATAGCACGGTCATGGCGGTCATGCTGAGAGTAACGCATGCGAGTAGGATTGGGAAGTACACGCCCTGCAGTCGTCGCATGATTGTGGTGGCTGCAGCATGTTAGTCTACTTCGACACTTTGAATCTGTTCTTCTGTGAAAAGGCGGGGAACCTTGCATTTGTCAATAGTGAAAGATTTTGTCTCCCCAGTGAAAAGAATCGTATAAGGAGCAGGCATTTTGCTCCGAGGACTGCTCCGAGGACGGCGGCTGCATGTGTTATGACGGCGCAAATACCCGAACGTCGTGCAGGACCCGCCTCTGGCCAAGTTCGGAACGACCCTTCCTCACACGTCAGCAGC